GTACGAGGCCGCCACTCGAGAACCTTTCTTCCCCATCGGTTGTCGGTTCTTCGAGCTATATGGCCGGCCCACTGCCATTTCAGCTTACTAATCCGTTGGCCTATGTCGGTCACTCTGGTTCTACTGCGGATATCCTCATTCCTAAGTTTATCACGCAGAGAAACTCCGAGCATAGCGCTCTCCATAGCTCGCTGAGCGACCGTGAACTTTCTCATACGGCCAGCAGTGAAGGACCACGTCTCAGTTCCGTAAGTCATCACTGGCAGCACGCACTGGTTGTACAATTTCGTTTTAAGGTTTTGAGGTATGTCTGACGAGAAGATGTGTCGTAGCTTCCCGAACGCTGCCCAGCCGAGTTGAATCTGTCGATTGACCTCTCGGTCGAAGTTGGACTTACCTAGTCGGACTATTTGTCCCAGGTAAACATACTCGTCAACAACTTCGAGCTTAGTGTTTCCAACATCTACCGGCATAGGTGTGACATGGACATTAAACATGATCTTTGTTTTGTCCATGTTCATCTTAAGACCTATCGGTTGGGAAACACTATTGAGGTCATTGAGCATAGTGTTTAGGTCCTCCAGCGATTCTGCCATAAGGACTATATCGTCGGCAAATCGAAGGTGAGTGATGTACTCGCCATTGATGTTAATACCGTATCCTTTCCAGTCCAAAAGCTTGAAAACGTCTTCCAATGCAGCGGTGAAGAGTTTCGGGGATATGACGTCACCCTGTCTTACACCTCTCTGCAATTGGATAGGTTTCGTTCTCTGGTTCTGTACTCGGATAGCCATCGTAGCCCTACTGTACAAGCACTTCAACACTTCGATATACCGACAGTCAACTTGGCACCGCTGAAGGGACTGCAGCACCGCCCAAATTTCGACGGAATCAAAGGCTTTCTCATAGACCACATACGCCAGACATAAGGGCAAATTGTACTTTTCGGACTTCTGTACAATTTGCCGAAGGGTAAGTATGTGGTCTATGGTGCTAAAGCCCTTTCGGAAACCGGCTTGTTCGGGAGGCTGGAAGTCGTCAAGTCTGCGCGCGAGACGATTAGTAATGACTCTCGAAAACAGCACGTAGACGCGGCTCAGAAGGGAAATCGGTCTGTAGTTCTTCAAGAGAGCGTTGTCACCTTTCTTGAAGAACAAGACCACCGCACTTCTGCTCCACGCCTCCGGTGTAATGCCACCATGTAGGACGGAATTAAAGAGCTTCTGAAGGACTTCAAGTACCGGTTTTCCACCCGCTTTCAGAAGCTCCGCTGTAATTCCATCCTCGCCTGGGGCCTTACACTTTAATTACGGAACACTAATTACAACTTAAAAACACACTAATGATAAAACACAATTGTACTACATAGGCTGCACTAAAAGTATCGGGAATGGAATATTTCCACTGTTACTGTCATATTAAAATCTTTTTATTTGAAATGTCCTTGTTTTTAAAAATCGAATACCATTTATTTATTTAAAAACAAATTCTCGGTCTTGTCACAAGGTTTTGTCAAACTTGTTTAGTCGTAGAGAAAATGGAATTGACTCGAGAAAATTCAAGAGCGATGATTTATTATGACTTTCGAAGTGGTTTAACACAAAAACAGTGTGTTGACCGGATGATTTCTGCATTTGGTGATGAAGCCCCATCCAAAACCACAATTTATCGCTGGTTTGCTGAATTTCAACGTAGACGTGTCAAGCTCAGTGATGATCCCCGTCAAGGTCGTACAAAAACTGCAGTCACCCAAGAAAACATTGATGCTGTGCGTAAGCTGATTGAGGAAGATCGACATGTGACATACCGCGAAATTCAGGCAACTTTAGACATTGGCATGAGTCAAATACAAATAATCTTGCATGAACAATTAGGTGTAAAAAAGTTGTTTTCCCGATGGATACCGCATTCGCTCTGTGAAGAGCAAAAAGCGGCTCGCGTTACTTGGTGCGTCAGAACTCTCGAAAGATTCCACGCAGGATCCTCAAATGCTATATACAACATCGTATCAGGTGACAAATCCTGGACATACGCGTACGAATCCGAAACAAAAAACCAGTCACGAGTTTGGGTGTTCGAAAATGAGTTAAAGCCAACAAAAATTGTTCGTTCACGGAGTGTTGCAAAAAAATGGTGGCCACGTTTGTCTCCATAACCGGCCATGTTACGACTATTCCTCTTGAGGGACAAAAAACGGTTAATGCAGAATGGTATGCTAGTATTTGTTTGCCACAGGTCGTTTCTGAACTCCGTAAAGAGAACTGCAAACGCCGCATCATCCTCCATCACGACAATGCGAGTTCTCACACCGCACACAGAACAAAAGAGTTTTTAGAGCAAGAAAACATAAAATTATTAGACCATCCGCCGTACAGCCCCGACCTAAGCCCTAATGATTTCTATACTTTCCCTAAAATAAAGAATAAATTGCGTGGACAGAGATTTTCATCACCTGAAGAAGCTGATGAGGCCTACAAAACGGCCATTTTGGAGACCCTAACTTTCGAATTGAATGGTTGCTTCAATGATTGGTTCCATCGTATGGAAAAATGTGTCAAATATCGCGGAGAATACTTCGAAATGCAATAAATACATTTTTAAATAGTAATGTTGTGTCACTTCCTTGATTCCCGAAATTTTCAGTGCCGCTCTCGTACTAAGCACTTTAGTTCGCAGTTATATCACTTCGAAGTATTCGCTTATATCGCCAATTCAATACTGACTCGGTCGTGGTCTATACAGGCCTTATATAGGGCCTCAGATAGTTTCCAGACCTTCTACTGTAGAAACATCTGGAATGTTCGAGTACATATCGGTCCCGAAATTTCTAAAAGGATCTTGACTCTCCTAGTTCTGCTACTCGATAATAGAGGGCGCTGGTGGTAACTAGCGTTGCCATGTACAAGACATTAATAGTGGCGCGCAACACTGCACCCTCCTAAGACATGCTCGTCCCGAGCATTATTGGCCCCATAATAACGCGCCAGCCTATCCACATGGACAATCTTGGGAGTACCTCTGGCACCTTTCTGTATCCGGTAGGTTACGTCATTGATTCTTGTCACAATCCGGTACAGTCCGTCCCATTTAGCTTGAAGCTTAGGAGATTTCCCTTTGCTGCGAACTGGATGGTGTAACCACACTGGTGAACCTTCGTCAAACCCTTTGTTGTTAATTTTTTTAGGCTCGAGTAGACTTCAAAATATCATAAATGCAGTTCTATATTGATGTTTACTAGAAAAGGTATGTTACGGATTTTATCACGTTTAATTTTAACTTTTTTTTTACATGGTCTTTTTACGCATCTTTGGATTAAAGTTACATAAAACCCGCGTAAAAGAACATATCGTTGATGTGAAGTACCGACGCTCCGGGAAGTCTAAAGTATGTCAACATGCTTAGTTTAGATAAAAGTAGCCTATACGTTGCACATAAATATATGTAGTATAAAAGTATATTACATAATTATATGATATATAAAACATTTCAACAGACTTATTATACTATGTATATATATTTTGCTTTTTCTAAAAATTAGCAATTATTTATTTGTAGAAATTTGGAATGGCAATATTATGAACGAAAGTGCGCACACGCACGCGCACGATCAGGTGCCCTCGCACACGTCCACCCACACACACGCACACGGACACGCACATGAACACGCATACGCACACGCACATGCACATGCACACGTACACGAACACGCACACGCCCCCCCCCCTCACATACACACACAGACACACGCATACGCATAGCGTAACAACTGTGAGATGGCGATTTTTCCTTGGTTACCTGTTTTACCCGTAAGAGAGCTCTCTTTTTCCGTATATATTATTATTGCCTTTGTCCCGCCCAGTAAAAATTAAGCGCCCATTCTTATACAATCGTAAAGGTGTCAAGCACAGATAAGCTAATATAATTGGAAGGTGTCAAACATGATAACGCCACACCCTACACTTCTCCTGGCTTATTTCACCTCTGCCGTCTCGGTTTTCACGGAATTTATAGTGAATTCTCTTACGTCACTGCACTGCCGCATCCCACACGTTCATATTCCTGCAAATTTAAGTAGCCCCTTTTGAAGACTAACCCACGCACAACTATTTCCCGGTGCCATGCGCACAAAGTTGCTCGTGTACAATTAAATTTTAAGTCGACTTCAAACCCTCAGGTGACGGGATTCCTTTTCTGCCTAGGAGTCCGTCTGCGTAGGTACCTATAAATTATTTAGGTCGGTACTACTTTATATTACAATAGAGATCGTTCAATAAAGTAAAAATAGATCATATTCATAATCATTACAGCCCATCACAAGTCTACTGCTGAACAAAAGCTTCCCCCAAGGAGTGCTACAAAAATATTTTAGTTAGTTCTGTATAGCAAATTTAATCGAATATTCATATAATGACTGCACTTATTATAGTTTATATATTTAATAATCGTTTGAATTGTATTTTCATTTATAAAAGTGGTGTGATTTTGTCTATTTAAAATGTCTGCGTATGTGAACTATTATCGGTAACGATTAAACAGGTACCCTGGTGGTGATTTTAATTTCAAGGTTTTATCCGGTTGGACAGCTTGAGACACTATCCTTATCAACTGCAGTCTGGGTCGAGTTGCTGTCAAAATCTTTTGAAATCTTTGCAATGTGACGCATCAACATAAATTGTAATATTATAAAATAACATCACATGAAGCTCTATCCTTTAAGACCTTTGCCTGTCTTAATTGACGAATGGTAACAACAAAAATTATCTATGACTCTCTTTGATATCAAAAAGTATAGCTGTGTGCTGTGCAGCTGCAGCTGTGAGCTGTCAACCATAACGTTCGTAAACGCCCAGCGACTAAGCCATAGAGAATCTTTTTATAACCAAGTAGACTAAGTTAAACACTAGTTCACGTAAACAAAATTATGAAAATAAATTAACTGCATACATATGTACTAAATTTATTTATTTTTGATAATCTGATTAATAACATAAGTGCTTAAGATGTCTGTGAGCGCCAGCGCTGAAAATCTGTCAACAGATGCCCAAGTATGTATATAAAATATATTTAACTCATTGTTATTTAAACTATTGTGCTTAATATTTTGTTTCAAAGTTCTTTAACATTGGGTGATATTTATAAATAGTTAATAGTATGTACTAAATTCGCAGTAGGTACTTTAATTAATAAACAGTCACCAATGAGTCACTCAATAGGGTCCTAATACGGAAGTTGTGACTTTGTCGTTTGTATGCTCGAACATTGCAGTTACAAAAGTAAATTGCGCGCCAACCTATTTATCATCTCAAACTTCTTTATCTCCTGAGTCTGTTATTAATTAGGCCGAATGTTATCTTAATGTACCAAACGTGTATTAATTTAAATGTAGAATACTTCTCAAATTTACTTTTTCCACAACAAACTCAAATGTTAGGTGCAAGTTTTCTGAATTCCTTTTTATTTATTTATTTATATTTCCTACTAACATCTACCAAAAAAATTTATTAAAACTCACTAAAATTTTGTAGCTTGAATACTACTCAAATACATACACTACTACACAAATCAATACACTTGATATTGTTACAATTATAACAATTATATTAAAACATTATCTAGCAAGTCCCAATATCTTTAGAAGAATACACTTCTGTCTACAGAATTGTAATGATTGACAAACAATGGTTTCTAAATTTTCTATCATCAATCTTTTTACTTTAGTCTGAAATAGATATTTATGCATCCACTTAAATGTAATCAGTTCCCAGATATATTCCTTTCTAAACTTTTGTAGCATTAAATTTGAAACTATGTATGTATTTATTAAATTGTTTCTTTAATTTTCATTTTACAAATATGACATAATAAATGAAATCAAATGTTAGGGTAAGATCCATGTTGGGTAAAAATTTTGAAATAGCACAACCTTTCTTATCACAGATCATATTTAAGACAAATTAAAAAGACTGCTGAATGTGATGTTATATGTAAATGAAACTCATTCAATTATGTATCAGTACGAGGGCTATTCAAGAGTGTTATCATATGATTATATAACATATTTTATAAACTCTGTCAAAGAAGATAGATGAGCTTCACATACATTACAAGTGAAGGTGAAAGAAAGCCAAAGCTATAATGAAGTTATTGTCTGAATAAACACTCCTGCTCACATATACATATTTAGGTGCATATGTATGCATCCAGGAACAGGACTGTAGGGAGGATATATCTATTTAATGTAAACACTAACTCCAGCTGTGTGTCTGTGGTAGCATAAGCTCTGTGAGGGTTGTAGTGATTCAAACATCAGGAACCTAGTACCAAGTTGAGTCTGTGTCAACTCCTCAAATAACTGAGCCAAACATAATGTACCATAAACTTGTGATTTTTGTCTATCCAGTAAACATAATAGATTGTACAACACTTTACTTATGAAAAAATATCTTCCTCATCATTTTAAAAACATATTTCTATTTTCAAGGTTGTTTAGTTTGTACGTCGTAATAAAATGTATCCTAGTTATGTCACTAGTAGTAATCAAAACTACATACTTCGATTTTCAGTTGTTAAGTTCACAGATGTATGTGTACCTAAAGTGTGCAAACTTTTTGTGTGTAGGTACACACAATGATGTGCAATTTAAAATAGATATAATACATAAGTATAATTTGTCAAACTGAAAGTCTTATAAATTATTATTATTATTATTATGGTGGGTATTAAATAGTTTTCTCATCTGGCTAGGCTGCACAAATTTATACATGGAAATGATAAACATACATAAATATAAATATATTAATATGGTGAAATAAATATATAAAGAATATGTAACTAAAAAAAAGCCAACCAGATGGAAGCCCTCGGCAGGGGTGACCTAACGGCCCAGGGTTAGGGAGAAAGGGAGAGAACCTTGTGAATGATGCGGGCGGTATCGAGGAGCACCGCCTTCTGCATTCGAGCCCGGAGCGGTCCGTCACAGAGTCACTTCAGATGACTCGAGAGGTTGACTGGGATTATCCCGTTCGCAGAAACAACTACAGGTTTAATTTAAGGCCGGCAGGCCACCCCACATGTCGGTCACCTCGTGAGACAAGTCCAGATATTTTGTTTGATTTTCTCTTTCGCCTTGCATGAGGTTCTTGTCATGTGGAATGATAATGTCGACCAAAAATATCCTTGACTGTGCTCAGTCCATCAGCATAATATTAGGCTTATTCGCAAAAATATTCCTGTCTGTGATGATGGCCTGGACCCAGTAGAACCTGGTCCAGTCATTTTCGAGCACAGCTTCCGGCAAGTACTTGTAATAAGACCATGAGGGTCCATGAGACCGTATTTCAGAGCAAGCTCTTGATGTGGAATTCTGGCTACCAGGTTGGGTCTGTGCAAGTACTCAGAGTTAGAAAGTGCTAAACAACTGGAGATGACATGCCTAAGTGACTCTCCAGGATGGCAGCAAGCTTGATAGATGTCGACAGTGTCATACCTTAGTATGCATTTCCAATAGACGTTGGTCTTAATAACCTGATCCTGTATCATACAGACAAAACCCTCGGTTTCCCCGAAGATTTTGGAGTTGCAGATTTGAATCCCACTATGCTTATTAAAGCGTGGCCATGTGCAATTTATGTTGGTAAAACACCTTCACAACGGAGAAAATCCCTCTGTGGATGTAATTCAATAAGACTTCGTCTATATGCCTTCGTCTTCTCGATTTGCCTTTTCCACACAACTTACATTTTCAGACACACACACACACACTTCTATGGACCAATTTAATCAAGTAGCAACATCCAGTATGAATTCACCTTGCTGAAATTGTAAACATAATAAGCATTCTATGGTCCTTGAAGACATTTAGATAATTTATTATTTATTTATTTTATTCTTTATTGTGACACCTTACAACTAAGATAACAATGGGCGGACTTAATGCCTGTCGGCATTATCTGCCACTCAACATAATATTATATGATTCATTATAGTTTATCGCCCAATTATAAATTTAATTTGATTATTGAGTTATTAAATTCAGTCAGGGTGTAATTTATTTGATGGATAACTTTTATCTGACCATTGAAAAATCAATCACAATACACACAAAAATACATCAATTTGAACTTACATTTCTACTCTATATTATACTCTTATACTCTATTCAAATTTCAATTTAAAAAAAAATCTAAACCATTAATAAAAAGCAAAGAACCTGATTTGAGTGATATCATATTAATAAACAAAAATAAAATATGAAACAAACAAAAAAATTAACAAGTCATTAGAATGCACTTCAAGAAAAAAATTTATTATTTTCATCATACAATACTTTTAAGGCAGCAACAAATCTAGTAAAACCTAACTTCAAAGTTTTAGTCTTAAGAGCTGGCAACATGTCGAGCAACATACCTCGAGGCACGCAATATTTTACATGCAAATGATTGTATGAGTATCCGCAAAGCTAAATCCCGACCGTCAGAAGGCATGCTGGAGGCTAAGTGCGTGGGCGGCCGATGGAACATGTAAATTTTCCGACAAAAAAATACTGCCTATCGGCACGGCTGAAAATTTGCAGAGATATCGAGGAAAATGAGGGAGAGCAGGAAAAACATCGTCAGAAAGCTAAGTAGAGGAGAAAGGGTTGTCAGAAGCTGCTAAAGTTGCGAAAAATTTCGGAAAATTTACATGTTAAGCGGTACTTCTGACAATTGAGATTTTTGTTGTTTACTCATAGAATAAACTCTATGCAAAGTGTCAGAAGGCTAAGTGGAAGCGATCGTGAGATAGTCGGCTTCAAAGTGCGAGAGAATTTATCGACGTGCGGCGCAGACGTCGGAACCAATCGCTTTTCTCTTGATTTTCATGCGCACATTTTTCATGGCACTTTTCATAATTTATTGGGATGTTGATAAATCACTAATATATACCTTGAAATAAAATGTAAAAAACAAAAATTTATTTTAAGGAACACTAAATTTATAAACAAAATCTGTTTTGTAATCTATATCTGGAATATTCTCTTCAAATTCAGTATCTTCATCGCTGTTGTATTCAGACTCCTCGTCATCAACTGAAAATAATAAATACTTTAATGAAAGGAATCATTACACAATCAAGACTCGTGAATAAAATATTACCTTCTGAATTTTCATCTAAAATCACGTCTTTTACGGATGATGGCAACTGTGGGCCTTCAAACCATAGCAAATCATATTCATTTTTAAATAATGTCCATCCTGAAGTTTCGTGCTCGAATTCGATTGGATCTGATGAGGTAGCATTATTCCACAAGTGCGCAATGTAGTTGGCTCTTTTTATTTGTTGAAGTAGCTCAATGTAGCAAGGTGGCAAGCAGGAAGCGTCGAAATTTGTTAATTATTTTTTTAAAAGCTTCTTCAGTATTTTTAACTTTATAATTTCAGAGAAACATTTGAAATCTGACATTATTAATTTTTTCATTTTTCTCATACCCATACAAATGACTCTATTTTTAAGAAGGTTTCATCTGTATCGATTGAAGTGTCTCCCAAGGCAGCAAATGCCTTCTGGAATTTTTTTGTTAAAAAACAAAAATTTATTTTAAGTGTTCCTTAAAATAAATTTTTGTTTTTTACATTTTATTTTAAGGTATATATTAGTGATTTATCAACATCCCAATAAATTATGAAAAGTGCCATGAAAAATGTGCGCATGAAAATCAAGAGAAAAGCGATTGGTTCCGACGTCTGCGCCGCACGTCGATAAATTCTCTCGCACTTTGAAGCCGACTATCTCACGATCGCTTCCACTTAGCCTTCTGACACTTTGCATAGAGTTTATTCTATGAGTAAACAACAAAAATCTCAATTGTCAGAAGTACCGCTTAACATGTAAATTTTCCGAAATTTTTCGCAACTTTAGCAGCTTCTGGCAACCCTTTCTCCTCTACTTAGCTTTCTGACGATGTTTTTCCTGCTTTCCCTCATTTTCCTCGATATCTATGCAAATTTTCAGCCGTGCCGATAGGCGAACTTCCCATTTTTTTTTCTTATTCCTTTGACATGCTGGC